ATAGACCCTGCCACACTGGGCTCATTTTCCAGTGAATGTTTGCTTTGACTTCATGGGTTCGGTTCTGAACACTGATTAGGAAGGCCAGGAAACAAGGAAATGAATCTTCACGTGTTAGCAGAGGGGTTGAACTTGACATTATTCTATAAGCACACTTCAGCTGTGGTTGGGATTTTTCTTTTTAAGACTTATTTATGTACACAGAGCTGGGATATAAGTCAGATGCAGCGTGGGGAGCAGAACAAGCAGATCTACTGAAATACACTGCTGAGGGGGGTTGTGGGGAGACAGAGAGGTCTGCTGTGCCATGTAGGTCAGCTCCCTGGCCAGGGATCAAACTCATGCTGCAGTGGCTGCAGATAGCTTCAAAGTGCTGCATCTTACCCCCTTGTACCACCAGGGAAGCCCGGGATTATTTTTGATAAACAAATTCATAAGTAAACTCCCTGAACACGGAGCTCAATTTCTCCTAGCTGGCCTTGTGGGAGAGCGGCTAGTCTGGATCAAGTCTTCCCTGGCTAGACCTCAACTCCAGCCTCCAGCCTCTTGTTTCTCTGGAGATACAATGCAGTGGCTGCTCTTAAGTAAAGTCCCAATTTCATTGTCAAGGGAGGGGGTGGGGTGGGGTGGGGTGGGGTGGGCCCACCCTCCCTGGTGGCGCGGCAGGTTAAAGCACAGCCCTGAGAAGCTAAAGCCATTTCCGCAAAAGTTCGATCCCCGCCTGCCCCGGAGGTGACCACATGGCGTGGCAGACCTCTCCTGACCAGCCCGCTGCTCCCCTCAGCAGTGTACTTCGTTGATCTGCCTGTTCTGCTCCCCACTCTGTTCCTGGTGAATCCTCTATATCTCTAGCCTGTACCCCAGTTCTGTATAAATAAATAAATCTTTAAAAAAAAAAAAGGGAGGGGGTGCTTGTGTAAGGTCACAAAGAGCTGGACTCACCACTTAGTGCTGTGAGTGGTCTAGGGACAGGCTCCCAAGTCAGTGGTGGGGAGGGCATTGGTCAAGTCTTCAGAAAGGAGGGGAAGGCAACCCTACGCAGTCCTTAAGAGCAGGACAGTCCTGGGTCCATGCCAAGCAGGGCCACTCACTAGCAGTGGGCTCAGAAACAGCTCAAGTCTTTCTGCATCTGTTATCTCATTTGAAAATGAGGAGATTACTTGTACCTACTTCACACGTTTATTTTGGGGATTCAATGAAGCGAAGCAGACAAAAGCTTAGAAGAGCATCTCATTCTCAGAAAGCTCAATAAATGGAGCTGGCATTAATCTGGACGATGATGATGAGAGCTGGGGTGATCACAGAATGCCCTCTCGTACCAGAGCATTTCTGGGAGTGACGGGGAAGACTCTACAATTACATTAGGTCAACTGGTGAGTGCAAGAGTGCTCCCAGGCATAGGGAGTGTGTGTGTGAGAGAGAGAGGACCCTGCTATTAGCTCATCACCGCTCTCACATAATAAAGAAATTAGGCAACAATCACATCTCACCTATTTTCTACAACCCGAGAGACCTTCATCTATTGACTGGAGCCTCTCTGAAACTGTGTGGGGAAATGCCACACTGGGTTCATTTAACCCTGAGTGGTGAGAAATAGAAGCATGGAAGTAAAGACTCTTCCCAGGATCTAGAGTTGCAGGGCAGGGGACCCCTCAATGCCGCCCCTCCTCTGGCTTCTGGGCCTCCAGCGGAAAGCAGGGTCACGTGTGGAGCCACGGGCTCCTTCCTGGTCCAGGGCACCTGCGAGCGGGTCATGTTTCCTCTCCCGGGATGGCATCTGGAGGCAGGAAGTGAGGTCCCTGTGATGCACCCTTGTGGGTTCTCCTACAACACAGCCTCAAACGAGAGTAGGCGGCACTGAACCTTAGGTATTATGGTTGCTAACTTTTATGCCAAGAAGGCTGAGACAGTACCCAAGTTCACAGAAGCCAGTGCCCAGGTGGACACAGCAGAGCTGGTGCTGTGAGGCCGGACGTGCCTAGGAGGTAAGGTTTTAGCCAGCAGGTGTCTGTGGCTCCACCTGTGTTAAGTGAAAGGGCCGAGCTTCCTCATGGGGAGAGGAAATGCTTGTCAAAGTCAGAAAATGCAAAGTGAAGCCTCTATTAAACAAAAAATAAAGAATGGGTATGTAACTTAAGTCTTCACGTGGAACAGCTGCCAGGAAGCCATATTCTGAGATGTGGGTGTCACAGGATGGTGATGAAGGTGAGCATGGGCCCAGTGGGGCCTAATAGCTCTGGGTGAGTAAGAAACCAGCTTTCATTGCAGTGAGCCTTGAGGGTTGGTGAGTGCTCTCTACTGGGGCCCACACGCAGCCCCCCAGCTAGGTAGTGGGGCTGGACCCCCCCCTCCCCCACACACACACACAAACTTGTTCCATCGTTTTTGCTCAATATCATGAATCCTAACCAGATTGGGCAAATATTGCCAAGGTCAGTGCCAGAGTTTCCTCATAGTAACTTTTCAATGATTACTTGGTTAAAAACAAACTATTGATTTGGTTTAAAGTAAAGCAATTCAGACCCAGAGCCACATAAAAAAGAAAAAGTTCCAAAATGCATGGTGAGTTTTAATTTGCTGCTGATTTATTCCAACGTTGAGGTTAATCCAAGAAGTCACGGCTTCTCGTTTTAAAGACAACCCTAATGTGTGGTTCCTGAAATGAGATGGTCTTAATGTCGTATCGATTTAATTGAAAGTTAAGCAGATGAATGGAAATTCCAACTAATTTATGAAGTGTGAACGATTCTATATCAATCTAGAAGATTCCTTCAGGTTTCCCTTATGAGAATCCTACTTATCCTTCAAGAAAATCCCATTTTCTTTATGGAGGGAGAAAGTCTCACACCTCTAATTTTGGTAATACAGGTACTCACAGAATTGCCTAGATCACTGGGTGGCAAATTTTTTCTGCAAAGGGTCATAAAGTAAATATTTTATGGTTTCTGTCACTCTATCCAGTTCCACTTACAACACAAAAGCTGCCATAAATAATCTGGAAATGAATGAACATGACTATGTTCCAGTAAAACTTTATTTAGGGACATTGAAATCTGAATTCCATAAAATTTTCATGAGGCACAAAATGTTACTGTTTTAAAGTTTCCCAAGCATTTAAAAAATAGAAAAAAATGACTGTCAGCTTGTCCGTCTCATACAAACAAGCGGCAGGCCACGTGGGGTCACTGGACTGCACTTGACCGACCCTTGCACTGGCTTAGAAGAGGGACGATGAAGTGTTAGGCTCTCAGCTTGAGAGGAGCACAAATTTCATTACTCTGGTTCTCCACTGCCTTGAAGCTGGGGATTCAGGCCCTGAACTTCTGGGTCTCCACCCCAGGGAGCACCCCAGAACATGTGGCATGGCAGGATACCAGGAAAAGTGAGAGCCCCCTGGTAAGCCACTGTCAGAGACACCTTGATGGCAGAAGGTTTTTATCCAAAAGATCTGGACATGGGGCCCTCCCTGGTGGCTCAGCGGGTTAAAGCGCTGCACTAAGAAGCTAAAGTCACTTCCGCATGAGTTCGATCCCTGCCTGCCCCGGAGGAGATCCACATGGCGAGGCAGACCTCTCCCGACCCGCCCGCTGCTCCCCTCAGCAGTGTACTTCATCTATCTGCCTGTTCTGCTTCCCACTCTGTCTCTGGTGAATTCTCTCACCCTCCGCATCTCTGGCCTGTACCCCAGTTCTATATGAATAAATAAATAAAAATCTTAAAAAAAAGAAAAAAGAAAAAAGATCTGGACATGGGCAGTATTTGCTGGATCACCCCCAACATTAATCAGAGCACCTGGCTCCCAAACCCTGACTCTGGCCCTCATGAGGGTCTGGAGAGCTTCCCTGGATTCTGGATTTCAGAATTCTTTGGATACCTTGTGAGCATCGACTCACATACTCAAGTTCTTGGCTAATGCTTCCTACCCTTCAACCCCACTTCTCAGCTGAGAGTCACACCCTGTGAGCCCCTGATACTGGCCTCACACAAACTCTGGGTTATCCTGTGTCCTCGTTAGGCCTCATGGGCCAAGCAGAGCCTGGTGGGGAGCGCAGACTGGCAGAGGCCGGGTGTGGACAGGTCCAAGGAAGCGGAAGAGTCTGGGCCAAGTGGCCACTGTTGCCTGAAGAAAGCCACTGCCCAACCAAGGCCCCTCTGTAACAGGACAGCTGGGTTTCCCCAGGGAAACCTGAAGTCGCCCAGACTCTGAGAGAGGCTGGGTCTGGCTGGAACAGAGAATCAGGCTCCTAATCCTGGCTGGTCCAGGCAGCTAGGAACCTCCCTACTGGGTTTCATACAGACCTCCGTTCTGTGTTCTCGTCAAAGCTCCATGTCACTCCTCTGTCCTCCTCCTGCCCTGGTGAGCCCCACAGGGAGTCCTCCCTCCTCTGTTATTTCAGTCCCAGTCCTCAAAGTCTCCCAATTCACCATGCAAAGCTGACACCAGTGCACAGCCCCGCCCTTAACAGAGCAACACCATCCACCATTTTCCTACGAGTGAGCCATGGGTCTCGGGCTGTAAGCACCATGAGAATAGCTCCACGCTCACACTCTTATCCCCATCTGTCCATAGAACACATAACTGATACTCAATAATACTATGGAACTCAATTAAAAGGCACAACATTAGGAAGATTAATGTAATTCAAGTAAAACTACAGAATTATGGGAAAAAAGTGGCTTAGAGGAACTACGATGGTAGAGTTAGTTGCGAGATGAAAACCCCAATGTTCCTGTTGCTTTGAGAGTCCAAGAGACAGCAACATTTTAAATAATGCTGTGAGTCAATGTTTTCATTATCTTAATGTCTAAATTGGATTGACCACATTGTCAGTCTGATCAGCTGCATAATTGATCATTAAGAAGATTGGGAAAAGGGGGGTTAGCAATTGGTGGAGAGGCAATCAATTTGGCACTTACATTTAAATATAGTTTTGGTAGTTCACTTATTCAGTGAAAGCTTCCCAAGGTGTGGGTCACTGGGGGAGGTGGGGTGTGGTTACCTGAGTCAGAATGGGTCCAGGAAACCGAGGTCAGCATTGCTCCAGTCACAGACAGGACAGAGAGGCCTCCATGGTCACGGGAACGCTGGCCTTCCAGAAGATGGGGCTCCTAGTGACTGCTGAGAGAAGCAGAAGACGACAGGATTAGAGCAGAAGAGGACAGCGGACCCTCTCAGTTACCACGCAGGTCAACTTGGCCCACTCTACACAAACAGACAAACTTCAATGAAAAAGTCAATTTCAACAGACCTCTTTATTTCTTGGAACGTTATTGAAGTGCTGAGTCTTTTGCGACAGAGTGTTCTTGCAACTGCCTTATGGGACATACAAGGACCCGGAAATTTGAAAATACACACACATCACAAGGAGATCTTATTTTACTATAGCTGTGGCTGAGACATGTGTGAGAGCATTTTATTTTACAACAGCTGCCACCGAAACATGAGCAAAGACAGCATTCAAGGCTGGTGTGCCAGTGTGGGGGGCCAGCTTTGAGCCACAGCGAAGACCAGAAACAGGCTGCAATGTCGCACACTATTCTGTTGTAAAATCTGGGCTCGCTTCCTCCGGAGAAAGATGGCATCAAATCAAAGCTCACTAAATGACCTGCAAGTTCTTGGGTCACAGTTAACCAATAATTCTGCAAAATGAGACAAATTGCATAATAATTTCTAATGGAAGTTTCTAGCCTTCATTTCAAGGAAGACAAATCAATAGACTCATGCAAAGGATGGTATTATCCTATGAGCTTTTGTGCAAGAATATTAGGAAATAAATTCATTAGATTGGTGTTTTTCTAAGCTGTGGTTCCTTACAGTACCAGCATCAACATCATCGTAAAACTTTCTTGGAAATGCACTTCTGGCCCTTCCACCCCCCACTACCATCCAAGATCAACTGACTCTGCATATTTCAAAGTAGGTTTCATCGTTTAAAACAGGCCCTCTAAGAGATTCAGCTACATCTTGTGTTATTAATTTATTCACCCAATCAAAGCATCCCTTGTGTTATTAAATCATTCTAAACCTACTGTGTGTTGAGCTCCAGTTAAGGGCAAAGCATGGAGTAAGGGAGAAAGGGCCAGAGAGCATGAGGAAATCCCCACCTTTGAGAAATGCACTTTCCACAATAGGAGCAAAGAGAGGCCTTCACTCAGCTGCAGAGTGTGTCACTTCCTCTGCCGGTAAGAGGGTTTCTGGTGGAGGTGGGGTGGGGTAGAAATTAAGACACAGGTAGTTGTAACAGGTTAGGGCAGGAATTTGACAGGTGCAAACTGCAAAAGCTGAAAGGAAGCTCCAGAGGCGAGAGTGGGGGCTACTTAGGTAGCCAGGGACTGACCGATACATGAGTCACTTGAAGGTGCTCTGCCTGGGACAAGATTACTTCTAAAATCAGACAGGGGAACGCAGGGGGCCTGTGACTTCTCTTTCTGACATGAAAATCACCCAGCCACACCCACTGCTTATGTCTGGAGATTGAGGTCTGATGAATGAAGTGACTGAGGATTTCTAAGTCCATCTGCTTCTCTGTAGTTTTCCTATTGCATTTCTAGAAGGAGAGAGGCCTTCGGTTGCTTTAAGGATAATTGCTGAAGCTTTGCCCAGGAGGAAGACACAAAAGAAAATTTTAAAGTAGGTGCAAGAATCTAGATGTCACAGTAGCCTCGGGCCATTCTGCAAAAGGGCAAAATTCTACCATACCTAAAAGCCCCCAGGACACCTGAGGTTTTAGTTTTATAAAATAATTCAAGTGTATAGTGGTGAGTCATAAGAAATAAAGTCTATACTCAATGCCTCCTATTAGGAAAAAAAAAAAACTTTTCATGATCTTGAAGCTATGGCTTTTGCCTCTAGAAAACTGACATAAATAGAATGTTTTCTTTCCTGATGCTGCTGGGTAAATGATGGGCTACTGAAAATGTTTTTGCTATCATCAGACAAGCCTCTGAGTGAAAGGAAGCTGGATGCAGAATTGGCAATATCTGGTGGCCCATCTCAGCTCTGCCATGTAGTCATGGGCAAGACACTCAGCCCCTTATTCTTCGATTTTTTGTGGATCAAGAAATAGAAATAGACTTGCCCTAGCTTCTTTGAAATTTAAATTAGAAAATAGACATGAAGCTGCAGTGGAGATTAGAAACTGTAATACCACATGGAGATTCAGAATTATCTAGATGATATAATAGATAACATATCTAATATCACATAGGCTTAGAAATACCTCATTGAGATCTAATTAATACCTGTTATTATACTGGTCTTTGAACATATAAAAGTAAAATGTTTCATATGCCCTTGAGACTCTCTTTTCAAATATTTGCAGATACAGCAGTTCTCAGGAACATACTTGGCATCACCAAACCATTCTCCCAAGGAACATTTCAAGATAAAATTTCTACTTGTATTATTTTTTAAATTTTATTCCTCTGACCACAATAGAGCATCTAGTTATCTATCGTTCAGCAGCTCCTGGTGAGCATAACTTAGTCTTCAGCAACACAGACATATACAAGGGTTATAATTTATCATCTCTGCAGTAGTTTAGTCCCAGATGGACCATTTACTAATTTATTTCCATATGTAACTGGCAGAGAGATTAATCAGGCTTCCAACTCGGAAACCTGAATTGCACTTTATTCCCTTAACAGACAAACTCTGGACAGGAGAAGTATACATTTATACAGAAACCCAAGAGTTCTTAAAAAGCCTGCTAAAGTGGGGTGGGGTAAGGGATGTGAGAAATGGGCAACTGTATGGGAGGGAAAGGAAACTAGACTTTGTCTGGGTGGTGATCATGAATTAGTGTTCCAGATGTCAAATTATATAGCTGTACACCTGAAACTTACATAAAGTTATAAACCAATGCATTTCAATAAAAAATTGTATATTAAAAAGCAAACTGTTGACTTCAGATGCAGGTCTTTAAACACACACACACACACACACACACACATGCACACTTTGTTCCTTATGGTAAAGTGAAAGGCTGGTTTTTTTCCTCTAGATTCTCCTGGTTTTTCCACAGGGACTGTGTCTGATATAACTTGAGGTGAAGCAGGCCTACATCGTAATGCCAAATCAGACCCGAGGCCTCACATTCCCTTCCCGGGTGCAAGCTCAGAAGCTCGTATTTCTGAAACTGAAGTGATCTTTTTGCCACGGTGCTGGTCCAGCTGGCCTGGCCCAGGCCCTGGAAAGTATGTGCTTTCTTTTTTCCACTCTTTTTAAGGGTCTGAACTTGACTGAAGTCAGCAGCTGCCATATCCTCAGCGAGGCAATGGCTAATCCATTGTTAACGTTTCTCCCAGCCCCCTGAGCTCGGTGCTCAGTCCACTTTGGATGTTAATTCTATCCCAATGATATCAGACTTTAGCAAAAGGTGGTTTAGGGGATTGTGTTGGATGATGGTGTTGATGTACAGAAAGCCAGCCATTCCCAAACGGTCAGCGAGCATAGCTGACTGGTGATGTCAAGTGTAATTAAGGTCTCTGCCAGGAAGACTCTGTGGACAGGACTCTTAGTGATAGTATCAGTTGGATCCACACATCTGGGCCATGTGGCTTCAGAAATGTCACTCAACACTGATTCCCAACTGCTTCCCCAGTAACAGGCGTCTGGGTCCTTCAGGTACCTCCTGGCATTAAAATTTTAGGATCCTATGAACACAAAAGGTCAGCCATTGACCAGGATTCTGAGTTTTAGTGATACCAAATAGCACCCGAACGCAGCTGAATTGATCCAGAGGTCTGGTTCAGTGACAGATACTATCTTAGGGATGTAGGGACCCAACAGACTGTCTTTAAGCAGAAAGCATACATGTTTGGAGACCGTTGACCTTGGTGAGGTTTTCAGAATTCGAGGATCATGGCAGTATTAAGTACGTTCTAGATACAGACAAGCTGCAAATGTACGTAAGTCAGCCTTGTGTTTTTAGTACGTTTCACCCCAGTCAAGGCAAGGTACAACCCTACGAGAAAAATCAGGGCTATCATGGAAGATCAAGAAACTGTTAAGAGAACATCACAGACGGAGTGGGGGAGGGGGGAGGAAGGGCCGGGAGAGGGGGCAATCTGGAGGCTTTGAGGACAAATTGGAACTGAAACTGGTATCTGGGAAGCAACAAGAGCAGGAGCCTAGAAATAGCCTAGGCCAGCACACAGGATGCTCAAGAAAAGAGGAGATCCGGTGCGGGAGGGCTGGGAAGGGGCTGGCAGTGTGGAAAGCCCGCAGGGCGGCCTCGGGGTTGGCGAACTGTGATCACAGAGAACCTGCAGCAGTTACCATCAGTGGAGTCGCCCCTGAGCTCTGCCTCCAAAAGTGTGTTACCCTTTAGGGTTGGTAATAAGATCATCCCATACCTCCCTGTTTCTCTTATTCATCTCATGCTGCCACTAGTTGGGAATCCCTCAAATTTATTTTTTTTCCAATTCAATTTCCTGGCCCTTCAAATGGAAGCAATTGAGTTTCCTACTAGCGCTGCCAGAATTTAAATTCAAATGACTGCTTGGGTGAGGATTTTACATCTAGCTTTCTGTTCTTAAGAGATAAAGAGTTAAATAACACAGCCGCTGGCTGGTGTTGGGTGTTGGGGGTTTTTTGTTTTTGTGTTTTTTTACACTGGATAATATTTCTGGAGGTTGAAAAAATACACAAAGGTCTCCTCAGTTAAGAGGATGTTCTAGCACTTGCCAACAGACAGAAGTTGACCTCAGCATCCAAAGGAGTTATTGCAACTTTTCTGATTTCCGGTTTTAGAGTGTAAGGTTTCCAAGGCCCTTAAAATGTACGAGCAGAATGTCCTGTGAAGGAGGACCCCACGGTGTTCCATTCCTCTTCCTACACTTGTCCCTGGGAGAAGCTGCCCCCAGGATACACAGAGGCTGGCCAGGGAGTCAGGCCCACAACCTCTGTGTGTGTGTGTGTTGGGGGGGAGGGGGAGAAGTCTGCAACTCTGCCCTCTCCTCAGCCCGCTGGTGTCTTGCAACTTCTCTCCACACTAGTGTGGGCAGAGAGGAGCTGCTTTTGGTCTGAGCCACCATGAAAAAAAATTCGGCCAGAAACCCACAGTCCTCACATGCCTCTCTGGGCTGATGGCTCTCCGACCTTAATTTCACTTCGCA